TTATACTCGTAAGGATCAGTTCTATCGATTGGCATCAAAAAAATAAAAATCTAAAATTTGACCAAAATCAACAAAATTGCAAGGGGTTACATCACGTTTTTTCTCAAATTCCGTATCGGTGCGAAAATCAAAACTTTTTTGATGATTTTTATTGAATATCTCGGGTAAATACTGACAGATTTTGAAATGTTATACCTTTTTGAATTCGTAGGGATCCCTACTACCAATCTGCATTCAAACATTTTAAAAATCGATTGGTTAAAAAAAGTGGTTGACCAAAAACCGATTTGTTTGCAAAGTCAACCTTTTTTGATGTTTTTTTTGAATATCTCGGACAAATAATGTCCGATTTGGGAATTTTATACCATTTAATACTCGTAAGGATCAGTACTATCGATTGGCATCGACAAAATAAAAATCTAAAATTTGACCAAAATCAACAAAATGGCAAGGGGTTACATCACGTTTTTTCTCAAAAACGAGGTCGATACGAAAATTAAAACTTTGTTTGTAGTACGGTGAAGTAGATCGTGAGAAATGATGTCGTTACCCCATTTGAATTTAGTTATAGAAACTTGATATCTAAAGAACCCACTATGAAATTCGGGGGACTTATAAGTCAATCTAGTCATACACCACAAATAAGTTATTAATTAAACAAATATTGCTTTAACTGACAGTATTACCAACTATTGAACTATGTGTTATGAAATTTTTTCAACTGCTGCATGAATCCGGTGTTTGGCTGAATGCATGGTCGCCACGACTTTACAAGATTGTAGGCCTCCTCGAAGGACATGTCACGTCGCTGCATTAGATAACCGATGACAACTGCAGCGGAGCGCGATACGCCCGCATTGCAATGTACCAGCACACATCCCTTTACGGCGTACGCCTCCTCTATGAAGTTTATGGCAACGGGCAGCACATATTGCAGTATATTCGTTTCGGGCAGATCCAGGCATGGCAAATGCTTGCACTTAACCGTTGGCGGTAGCTCAACGATGGGTATTTCAATACCAACGCTTAATATGTGCGTTAATTTATACTTTAAGACGTTTTCCGGAGTAACGGCGTCCTGGGAGCCTAAATAAAGGAATTCGCTCAAAATGCATGCTGGAACGGCGTCGGGTTTAGTATCCACAACGAATCCATATTGGCGTGCTTCCAGCTGTTCTGGACTGCTAGCCGTTGTGTCGTCACCGGTTGAGGATCTGCGCCGTTCAATGTAACGAGCGCCGGTGGGTGTGGTCACAATCGTAGTGGTGGGCCTTAGATTGGCCAGACGCTTCTGCAGCTCATACAGCAATATCATGGTTTCTACTGGTTTAAGGACTAGTCTCGTCTGGAAGCTCGAAAACCGTATCGTTGTAGTGTACACGACACAGATAGAGACCACAGGCGGGCGCAACCAGTATACGAGGCTCCCAGCTGTGCTTGGAAGGGATCGTTAGCATTTCATAGATGCAGCGTTCGTCTATGCGGTCATTAGCCAGCGCCAGAAGCGTGCCCACAATGCGTCGAACCTGCTTGTACAGAAATGACTTGGCCTTGATCTCTATGTCCCAATAGTCGTAAATTTGTGATGCCAACGTTGCGTTTGGGCCCAGTGCAAGGCTTTGTCCAGGACGTATATTAATCTCATCGATTTTGCGCACTGTGAACATGGGATGGTCGCGACTGGGACTTTTCTGTCGACTGACGCTCATAAAAGTGCGAAAATCGTGGACGCCAAGGAACATGCGCGCTGCATTGTTCACTCGTTCTATATCGAAACTATTGTTTCTGGAAATGTCGAAATATGAGAAATGGCACCAACATGACTACTAAATAGTTGCTTACTGCAAAAAGTAACACCTGTCTATCTCCTCAACGGGCACAAAAGTTTCGTAGCCTCTGTTCTTAAGATTGCTGCTGGTATTCGGCTGTGTCACATTCTTGGCCACGGCCACTCGATATAAATAGGTGCGTCCGATGGCGTGATAGCGGCAATGAAAAGTGTCTGGCACGCGCTGGGTACTTAGCACACGTATTGGTAGGTTCTGCTTGTCCAGGGTTCGATTGAGTACACCTGTCAACGTGGTCGTATCGTAGTATTTATCATCGCTGCGTTTCAAATCGACGTGAACTGTCGAGTGCAGGGCGTGCACGCCGGCATCTGTGCTGGAAAATGACCACAGTTATGGCTGCTATTTATAAAACATATATTTAAAGTACCTACCGACTGGACAGCACAGTTTGGATTTCGTTTTTAGGACGAAAAACGCGCAATGCCAACTCCAAGCAGCCCTGAACTGAATTTGTATCTAGACGCGCTTCCTCCAACTTGTTAACAGTCTTCTGAATACCACTAAAAGTACATTTTAATGGCATACATTTTTTTTTTCTTATTTTTATTTACTTACCGAAAATTCGTGCCAATGTAGGAAATGTTGAGCAAGTACCTACGCATTATACACCTACACCCACACGGCGCACCAATCAAAAAGGCGGAAAACATATGTTTTGATATCGATTAATCGTTCTGTACACACCACCAGCACTGACCATATGTTCTACAACAGTAGTGTGCGTAGTGGTGGTTCGATAGGCATCAGTTACGCAACTGTTGTCATAGAAGCAAATCGACTAGTCGATTATTCACTTGACATTCATCATCGCATTTGAACATATTGTAAATATCGATACATGCCTTGTCAAAGTTTTGTAACCTGAATTAAAGCGAAAAAAAAGGGCAGACGTGCAAACAATTCGGCCGACCGGTTAATATTTTTACACTCGCACAGCACAATTGTTCAAATTTTCCATCAGGATCAGGTTAACGGTTGCATTACGAAACATGGCCAATTTCGCTGATTACACCAGAAATGAGGAGACCGAGGTCAATAGCTGGATTCGGTTCGGCTTGCGCCTTGGCGTTAGCGCTGCACTGCATCCATTTGAATACTCAAAGGCACTGATACAGATTGGATATGAGCCAATAGCCGCGAGACCGGGCAAGTCAATGCTAGGCAGACCAATTATGGTCCTGCCAAACATTTTCCAGTACGGTAAGTACACCGCATAACACACATTTCCGCCACCGGCCGGCATTAAAATCGCACTTCGATCTCTGCCCTTGCTGCTGTCACATAGCTGGTCATATCAAAAGAATCGATGGCTTCTATGGCTGTTATCGCGGTCTGGCACCCAAATTAGCTGGTTCCATTCTGAGCATGGTTGTGAGTGAGCGCGTTGCCGAAAAGCTGGACCTTGCTCATAAGGAGGACAAGGATGAGTCGGAGCTGACCGAGGAGGAGAAGTGAGTTGTAGGCCATTTGGCATCCCAATTCCTGAACTAATTCATTTCTCTGCCCGCCAGCTATGTGCAATTCAAGTACAATCTGAAGCGCGACATTGTGTTGACGGTTAGCGGAATCGTTGTCTCGCATCCGTTCCATGTGATTTCGTTGCGGATGATGGCACAGTTTGTGGGTCGTGAGACGTTATATAATTCCATTTTGGGCTCCATTGCCGAAATTTGGAAGACCGAAGGCATACGAGGTTTCTTTTCCGGCCTGATCCCCAAGCTGCTGTGCGACGTGGCCTGCCTTGTGCTATCGAGCTCCACTGTTTTCATACTCAACAAATACTTCATCAAGGACAAAGTGGCCAGGCAATATAATGCAGGATTTACCCAGTTTATGTTCTCTAGTCTGCTATATCCACTGCAAGTGGTTTCCACATGCTCCGCAATTAGCGGCTCGCGCCTGATGGCCGGCCAGCCGCCAATAATGCCACAGTATAGCAATTGGGTAGACTGTTGGAACGACTTGCAGTCGCGCAGAGAACTTAAGCGCGGCAGCTCCCTCTTCTGGCGGTAAGTAAACAAACTATCTGTTCTATATAATATGGAATCTGCGCTCACGTCTCTCCTTTCTTTTAGCTCGCAAGTGCTGCAGGCGCCAATAATTGCAACATCTGCCTTTGCCCCACTACCCAAGCTGTCCCGCTACCAGTAGATGACCTGTTTATGAAGACGCGATTCGGCAACGACCACAACGGTAATAGCCGGAACGACATCCACCGAGAGAGACGCGTCTGCCTGCATTTTTATACAGCTCGTCGAGGGCCACCCTAAGACAACTGCATTTCTTTTCCCCGTTGCGATTATTATGCATAATAGTAAATCTCTATGTTAAAGTGGTCGCTTAAATTATGATTATCGAGTAACAAACAATTATTTCGAACGCATTGTATAATTTTATAACTTAATTTCCTTGTTGGCATCGAATGCCATTCCAAAGAATCACATGTACGATGAGACTTTCAATTTATTTTAAATAGCCAGACCCTAGTTTCTTGTTACTATTTAAACTGAGAAATATTTTTAAAATTAAAAACGTTTTGCGCAAAAGAACCGCTGTATCAGGCCAGTTTATGTTAACGACAATCCTGAAGAAACTACACGCCCATTTTGACAAAAATTGTGATGCCGATTTGAGGGCCAATCGACAATTGGTATCCGGATTAATTCAAGAAGCTATATCATTCCAATATACGACCTAATTTACCCGATTTATAGTCATTTAAAGTTAGAAAACTAAATCTGTATGGATACAATTATCGCAAAACTTGTTCTTGCCCTACCTCCGGCGAGTCCTCTCAAGGCAAATCACTCACTCGCAGGCGACGGCTGTTGTGACGGAATCATCAAAAACCACGAGTCGTATCGCAACCATGCCTGATCAAAAAAACTGCTGAAATACCAGGCGAACATAAATGAGCAGCAGGTAGCTTTACAAATAAATTATAAAAAAACTGTGGCATACTTTCGTTCGCGCAATATAAATGTTTCAAGTGCTACCCAGCACCAATCGGTTGTCCTGTGATGCCCAGCGCCAACTCCAAGTGCTACCCAGCCCCAATAATTAGTTTCCTAGTGCTACCCAGCGCCGATAACCTTTAAATGTAGCTGGGCAGCACTCGCAGCAATTAAATTTGCGCGCACGAAAGTATGCCACAGTTTTTATTTATTTTTAATGCAGCTACCTGCTGCTCATTTATGTTCGCCTGGTATATTTAGCAGTTTTTGTGATCAGATGTGATTCGAAACAACATGTGGTGGTTTTGATGATTCGGCACAGCAGACGGCCTGACGAGAATTTCAAACTAAAACGATAGAAATAATGAATCCTAAATGAGGCCAGCAGTAATAAGCTGTCTAGCTTTAACAACTCTAGATGGAAGACCTTTCCACATAATATTGTCCGCCTCGCCTAGTTAGCTTTTGTAACGGGGGCACAGACAAGTAGATTTATTTTCAAGTCAACAACGAATAGTTATTGGAACCAGGCGAACATAAATATGCTCGATTTGACTATATGAACAGAGTACAATTAGCGTATGCACAGCCTCCTTGGCGAAGTGAATTTGAATTTGAGTTTGAATTAATTAAAAATAAATCGCTTTCCGCGATGTATTTTCTTTCAATAAAACGAGTTTTCGTACTTAGCCGGCATCCGAAGAGACTTCGTTGAGTCTCATTATGCAATTTCAATTAAAATATGGGCAGAGAGCCTGCCTTGATAACGATATTTTCCTACATGGTTCAATGTACGAGGAGGGACTGAGGTGGGAGGTGGGAGGCGTGGGGTCTGGTTTACTTTGCCTTTGGGCAGTGGCCAAACAGGAGCATGGCTGTTGTTGTTGTTGTTGTTGCAGTTGTTGTTGGTGCCTGACATTGGCATTGGCCGTGGACGGCGTAAGTTATGCAGTGGGAACTGGTTGGGAATTGGAAACTTTTGCAGCTGGCCCGGGCCGCATTGTTTAACGCACTTGACGCTGTTTAGTCATGCCAAATTTCATGTAGCTCTCAACAAATGTGTCCAAATTGAGATTAAGCGACAATTTCAATCAAAACAAGGCGGCCGACAGCAACAACAACAAACAGAAACAACAACAACAACAACCTGCCCACAGCCAACCAAACAACAATGCAAGTCAGGCAACAACAGCAAAAAAAAATGTCAAAAAAATTGAAGTCGAACGCAACCGACTGCGCAATACTCTGTTCAGAGTGTGTTGAAACAGGCTCAAAGGGTCTTCTTCCTTTATCTGAAATATAAAAAAAACTTAAAAAGAGTAGGTTACAAAATCACAAAAATAAGTTGGCTCTGGATCTCTTAGACAATAGTAGGAACACATAAATAAGGTAAATACAAACTATAATGTAATATTTATTGCTTGAACTCATTGGAGCTCAAACAATCCTGTTAGCTTAAATTATATCTTAACTTATTTTCTAAGTAATGTGTTTATTGTCCTAAGGCAGAT